TAAAAACAAATAAACTTGAAAATCCATGAGAAAAAATATCACAGTTGTAGTAATCACATAATGAACTAGCCAGGCACACAGAACAATTATTTTCAAATCTTACCCTTTCTCCTTGTGGTCCCTAAGAGAACAAGTAAAGAACAAAAATTAAACCACGTTTGAGACGTATAAGCCTTTCGACATCTTAACAGTATGAACTTTTCTTTTTTCAAGCAACGGAAAACAATATAAACAAAGAAAAACAAGAGTACTTTTGCAACGTTTTCATTACAAAGATAATTTTACACAGTGGTCGTAGGCTTTTCAAAGGAGCATTACCAGTATACATTTTTTTTTTTGCATGGCTTATCGAACAGAAAATTTGAAAATGAAACAGTTCTTCTCAAAAGCTTGCCATAGAACCTTAAAGTCTTTATCGAGAGCCACGTGACCCACACGCTTAGGACTAGGAGAATTGCTACTCCCCTTACACGAGATGCTTGTCTAGCGCAGCCTGCCCCAGCCCTCCCCGCGACACAAAGAACCAAGCCTGGACTGGAACCCGGATCTCAGCATCAGTTCTTACATAAAAACCCTTATATCCTAACATTAGTATGCATATTCTCCATACTGTTCTCCATATATTTCGTAAGGTGCTGACAAGGAGAATTTGATTAACAATCTAGAGCTTCTTGAGTTGTTGATCATTTTCTTGATTCTCGTGACCTTAAGGTGCGATTCAGGGGTTATATTGTAAGGAGAAATTAGATTCCAGTCACTTTTAAGGGGTCAAAGGGTTAAAGGTTGATTCTTGTACTTACTCTGTCTCCCTTGGCACCCTATTGGAACAGAAATGAAGCAAACGTCAGCGCTAAGTAAAGTTGAGACGAAAAAAGACGGGACAAAAACAACGAAAAATAAGTTACACAACAAGTCAAAAGAAGTAAGCAATTTTCAAACCTGCAGACCAGAATTTCCCTACAGATAAAGAAAAAACAATTCTGATTAATTTTCTCTTTAAAATATAAATAGTGTTCCTCTGGCGACTAGAACACACTTGCTGGTTCGTGAATTACACTTGTCTTCACCAAAAGACGGTATTTTATTACTCAACACAAACTCGCGAAAACAAATCCTCCAAACTTATCTATTCCGGGCACAGGTGGCCAAGGACTGTCAATCAAAACCTAGCGACTATGAAGTTATGTAACGCAACGCATGTAACGCGAATTACAGCACAAAGCAACGCAACCCTGGAAGCGGGAACCACGAATAGTTTCAACTCGGAGGGACCGTCGATTCTGTAGGGTAGTAGTCTGAATGACATTAGTCTATTAAGTTAAGTCCATATCGTAATACATATTTGTAGAACATCAAAAACACTATTGCGAACCTACACCTGAGTTGCATCAAATTATACGCCATAATTTCAATTATTTAACAATTATTCGCCGACGGCGAAGAGAATTTTGTTGAGGAATACCCAAGACGAAGGCGAGAGGATTATTCAACTAAATTAACTTCGCCTTCGGCAAATAATTGTTTTCGTATAATTCCTCAAGGTGCTTTCGAATTCTGTTGAAAACTCGTTTTGCTATTGAAACCAATATGTTGCAATTGGTTACTCGTATCGAGATAAGCAGTCAGTTTCCACTGGAATTTCACAGATTTATTGAATTCAATCAGAAGAAAATTTATTGAATTCAATCGGAAGAAGCTAGAGTCGCTCTCGGCTATCGCCTCGCGCGACTCTTACGCTTCTTTCGTGCTTAGCAACCTCCCGCGTACATCCATAACTCAATAGTGTACGCTGTGGTGTTTACCATTTGTTAAATATTTCCTTATCAGATTGATGATACTGAACTGAGACATAATATCGTTGAGGTTCCATCACCTCTCAAAATGTGAATCACAAAAAATATATAACATTTGATGAGAAAAGAAACTTTCTTTTGGATGGCTGTAACTTTGAGTAGGTAATTGGAATCTATCCTAGGAATAACCATTACTCACCCTAGGCCCTGATGGTCCTGGTGGTCCGGGTGGTCCATCGGATCCGTCCTCACCCTGGGAAAGAAAGACACCATTTAAGCAACTACCCAGTTAGTCACAACATTTCTTGGATCAAACTCGACCCAGGTTTTGGCCGCTTAAATCAGCAAAATCTCCGAGCATCATGAAGCTCTTTGGTTCTGATAAACAGTTTTAATGTGATGTTCATAAGACTTATTTTTTATGCCGCCATGTATCTTAGCTTGTCACTACTCAGTAAGAAAAAACAGTTTGGGCTATAGTTTTACACGAAACAGATTCTGTTGGCCGACATATTGGAACACATAGGTGGAACTATATTCCCGAAAACATTGGAAACAATGGGGATGGGTATGAAAACATTTTTTTTTTTTTTGAGGGGAAATAGAAGGATATCCAAAACATTTGGTACCGGATTGTGGAATGGCATCATTTATGGGATGGGCTCCACGATGTATGTAAGATGCTGATATCAAGAAGCGCATCGTGCAGGCAAATTGCTCCTCGGAGTAGGCAGTGTCTACTATGCTGTATATGGCTGATTTAATATCATGACCAACAAACAAAACTGCAGCGTGAGATAAATAAAGCATAAAAACAAAATGTCACCCTAGGGGAGGAAAAAACAAAGAAAGTGCAAAACAAAAACAAACAAAGAAACCTAAAGTACTAAGAGAAAGAAAAAAAAAACAAAAACAAACAGAACATAAAACAGTGAAAAGCAAAAGTGTAAATGATAAAGTCTGTTTGTAGCTTAAATGTACTGCTCGAATGAAATTCACATTGTTCCCATACTTACTCTGTCACCTTTGGGTCCAGGGAATCCCTGGGGGCCGGGAGGACCTACGTCACCCTAAGAGAGAAACAGCTGACATAAAAAATGTTGCTATAGAAACTAAAGAATCTAAAAATCGTCTGCGTGATTCGATTGTAATCGCCCAGCATTTGTGTGTATGTCAAGCGATACTCCAACGGATATGATGAAGATAAGCTCTGTCTTCTTAGTTACTACCACCGTTACTTACTGGCATGGAGTTCTTTAACGGAATGGCATATCAATGTCATAAAGGAAAACCCTTTTAAACCTTTCACTGTCAGGAATGACTAGAAAGAATTTCTCCTCCTTTATTAGTTTTACATACCTTGTCACCAGATGGGCCAGCAACTCCCGTAGGACCAAAGAAACCAGGCCACCCCTAAATAACAATAAAAGAGGGTAAACTTTATCACTTACACGTATTGGATCTTAAACAAATATGTTATTCATTGTTTGGTACCATTTTTCTTATTCGACTTTCTAAGCTGTGATCTTGATTTACACACTTGCCTGGTAATGGACTCCACCAGGATTATCTACCAGATTAACTTTGCTATTTGAGTGACCCTTTCTCACCCACAATTAAGACGTTGTCGTATTCATTACTTAATTTCAATGTGTTTATTTATCTAAACCGCAATTCATGTACCCTAAAAATACTTGAGCTGAGTGAAATTAATAAATTTAATGTCGTTTTCGTCTTGCCACCACCGTAATTATCTATCAGGGAAAGAAGACTAAGAAAATAAACTCCCAACATGAAACAGTTTTTAGGTGCAAGAAACTGTCAAAAGGAACTTTAAATAAAGCATTTTGTCTTATTTTCGGTTTTTCCTTTCTTACCTTATCTCCTTTTTCTCCCTGTGAACCTTGCAATCCTTTCTCTCCTTTTGGACCCTAATAACAAAATAAACTGTTGAAGACATCTGAAAACAAGCCGTCCAGCACTGAAGCGATACAACTGGGTTGTTTCAATCATGATAAATTTAACACAGGTGCATAGTGAATTGCTAATTTAGTTTTTTAAGTTGTGCAACGAGGTTTTGTGCTCATAATTACGTAAGGTTCGTCTTACAGTGAGATACCCGCATAATATACGCTTTTGTAGAAGAGGAATCAAAAGCAAGTTTTGATCCCGTGTAATCCTGGATTAGTGAGAGTCTCCTTCCGTAAAATTAGGTCCAGGATTTTTGTTTGAGTCTTAAAAGCAGTTGCCTGTCTGCATTGGGTTCTCAAGTATTCTCTAAGATAATATCTTCCACGGGCCTTAAACAATCTCAGAGGACATTATCATCGTCTAAACCAAAATGCAACATTTGCCGTTTTTCGGTTTTGCGGTAATTGGTGTCATCGAATTTCTAGTAAGTTCATTTTACAAGAATGGTTACCAGAGCTGGCTTATGCATTACACTTACAGTGTTTCCCCGCGGTCCCTGAAGCCCTGGCAATCCTTGCGGTCCTGGATCACCCTAAAATGAGGGGAAAAAAAAAACATCAATGATCAATACCCATCAAACATGCTTTGAAAGCCTAACTACAGTAAATAACTATACTATAATACGTTAGATAGCCAACACACGGTATCCCATCTAGGGATAATACTGTAAAACTAGCAATAATACCAGAACACCTATCAACCATTAGTTCGCGTTCCTAGATATGGTACTGATGAACTGAAAATACGAAGAAAGCAAATACGGGTGTTACCTAAGTTTGTAATGGTACTCATTAAGATCGATGACGGGGTTCCGCTACTTACCGGAGCACCGGGGGTTCCTCTTTCGCCGGCCGGTCCCCTGTCCCCTCTTGGTCCCTTAAATCAACATCCCATAACGATTAGTGTTCGATCATCAGGGTAATTAAGTAGGACACTTAACAGAACATCAGGTTATATCAAGTGTGTTATAGATACACATTGATTAGTCTTGGTTTTTTTCGCCTGGAGGCTACATAAAGATAATTTTTTTTCTGAAAGGTGAAAGCAGCGAAATGCGAAATAGAAGAAATATTCCAGATTCCTTTAATTCTTCGCCTCTTTCTGCCTCTGATACCAAAAAAACCAAAAGGACCCTTCGCATCGAGACACTTCTATTGCTGATGAAGGAAAAAGTCAAACTATCTCGACAATGGCTAAGCTTCTAAGGAAAAGAGCCCAAGTGTATCATAATTTGCTGTTGTGGCTTTTTTATTTTCCTCTTCATTAAGTAGCAAAGGATTTGAACAGGTTTTCTATTTTACCAATGGAGTTAAAGAAGCGGGGACGATGCGCGCATAGCCTGTAAGTTATTGGAGGGGTGTGGAAGTGGGGAAGGTTACTTTTGTGATGCATTTCACCCCCCTCCCCCTAGCCCCCCAGCAGAGGTTAAATAGAACTCCATCCTCTTTCATTCCAGCAACGATTGCTATTTTTCAATCATCTTTTTTGTGAAATTTAATCCCCTTAATGTGGTTCGAGCTGTATGGGGGTAATTCTTACCGGAGGGCCGGGAGGACCTGTTACCCCTTGGGGTCCTGGTGGACCACTGTCGCCCTACGGAAAGAAAAAAAGAAAAAAAAAATGATAAACATGACAACAAAGAGAACACACATCACTGACAAAGAACATGTCAGTTCACAACATTCCCTTCACTGCAAAACGCATGTTCTAACAATTCACGACTTCATGCGAATGTCATAACCGATCAAACGGAAACAGACTTTTCCAGCCCTTGAATTCAAAGTGGCCTACATGAGGCAGATGATGTATTTACCTTGTCACCAGGATCGCCATCAGATCCACTGAATCCACGAGGCCCAGGCTCTCCCTGTAACAACAACACGCGACAGAATGAAACGAAGTAACCACTTGTGACATCAACACAGCTTTACTTACCGGCTGACCGGGATTGCCGGGGTTTCCATCATCTCCCCTAGGGCCTGGAGGACCCTGGGTGAAAAAGCAAAGCAATAAAGTAAACCAAAAGCTCATTTTAATGTGTGACTCAAAAATAAGGTTTAAATCGAACAAAAAAAAAAA